CCAACCTTAATGATTCTGTGATTCTTTTTCTATGTTGCGTTATTAATTGTTTATAGCTCATCTGTATTGCAGTCTTGCTTTTGAGGGTCTGCTGCAGATACATGTGAATGACACTGCGTATAACCTCATTTTTGTGAGTGTCGTGGGACAGGCTTAACTGCAGTAGCTGTGAAAAGCAGAGTGAGGTTTTGGTCTTTAATAGCCTTCATCTTATCATAGAGGTACCACTGAAAACATAAACTAATTTAAAGCAGTCTAGGAGTTCTTGTCAATTGAGTGAGAAGATCATAACAGACCTGTGGCAGGGCTTTCCAGAGCTGAGGACTGTGTTTCGTCTTCATTGTTGGTTGTAGGTGTCATCACCTCAGGAGAATCACGGTAGTGTTGAGGATGTCATAAACTTTCACCTTCTCCCCCTTTTGTCCCACTTTTAAGTCCGAGAGCAGTCAGGCTTCAGCGTACCACAAAGACCCACGTTCATTACTGCACCCCAAGCTGGGTGGAGTGAACGGACTACTGGAGCTAGGGCTGAAGAAGGGGTGGTGGGGAGGAATTGAGTCAAAACCCAGCGTTTTCTGCAGATGTTTGTGTTTAAAATACCTGTGGAAAATAACTGCACAAAGTGAAATTGTTTATTTTCTGCCCTGTTGCTTTTGGTCGTGTAAGTGGAGAGTTCTTGTCTGCGGCTTTAAATGATGTGTATGATTTGTGGGCTGTTTCTGAAGTATATCGGTGGGGAAATGAGACGCAAATTGAGGCTAACAGACGCGTTGATCCCTGGCATTAGGGTTTCCTGTCTCACGATGTGGCAGAGCTGCCAGCAAGACACAGGAGACGAGGCCCCTCGGCAGGGATGGGGTTGCGCCCTTGGGTGCAGCCAGCCGAGAGCAGCCCTGCAGCCCCTTCCTCTCCCCGCTCGGAGCTGCAGAATGACCGGACCCACAGGGATCAGCATGACTACCCGGTGGCTGGCGAGGCAGGCAGTGCCTAATGCCGCTCCGGTTGTGCCGCGAGGGAAAGCGGGTTAAGCCGGGATAACGCTGCGGCCTCACCCTGGCAGCTGACGGCATCCCCTCCGAGCAGGAGCCCCTGAAGCTTGCCGTGCGCCTCGGCCCTTACGTGGCGGCAGCGCGCAGCTCGCTAGTCGCTGCCGCGTTGCTAGGGCAACCCGCTGATCTATTCGTGTATTTCCAGCTGCAGTCTTGATACATCCTCTGCCCGGCCTTTGCTGGAGTGGTGTGTTTGGCTCGCAGGTGGGCTTTGAAGGGCTTCAGGTGCTTCTCGTGTAGCTAACTGTTACTTACACGAGGCAGACATCTCCCGTCCCCCTACCCCAAGTCGTTAGAGAGAGGTCTTGGATTTTAGCATTGGAGTGTATCTGCGCGTGTCCCTGCACAGAAATTAAATATTGCACCTGTTTGTGCATTTTGTGCTCTTAATGGAAGGGAGCATTATATCAACGTTCTCTAGTGCAACTAGAGCAGTTAAAGCTCCATTCCCTTCTTT